ACTTTTTTTTTTTTATGATGAAATGAAATACTCACTGTAAGAAGATGAAATGCTACGCAATTTTTTGAATTGTCTTCATACATTGCAGACACAGATACATACAACATTATGAAATATGTTGATTATGAAAAATTCCATATCCATAATTATATTGTAGGAAGAGGGAGGAAAGTAGTATGCAATTCACAGATTCTTTTTCTTTTTTATCAGAATTTCACATAATCAATTAAGTTGTTTTGCAACATTTCAAAAACAGTAAATACATAAAAATCGATATGTAAATGTGGTACAAACTCGAACTGTAATAAGCATTGAGTTTAATATGAGAGCATGAACCATTTGTTCTTTTGCAGGGAGAATCCTTTTTTTCGGTAACCCAGTTGTGTAATCTCAATGTTACAACAAATTATTTGTGGAATAATGGAAGAATACCTATACGATCGGTAGAAGTCTACGAGAAATGAAGCCTGCAACAAATCGATTCCTGTATGCGCCGCAGAAGACGGGATGTTTTGTAGTGAATTGTTTTGGTGAAACCTAATTGATTTTGTAATCCAGTGTTCGCGCCAGTTTGATTTTTGAGTTTTCCATGTAATTTGCCACAATACATTTCTGTCTTAACCATGATTATGGTGAGATAAACTTCAGTTACAATTTTAAATAGGGAAGGTCAGAGGTGGGCATTTTTTATTACAACATATCCCAAATTAAGTAAAAAAAGGGAATACAATTTAATTTGCAGTATTTTTAGTAATACATTTTTATTCACATACAAATGTGAATTTTTCCCAAAACAATATCTTTCAACCAAACAAATTGGAGACAAGCCCATTTAACAAAGAGGTCCATCACGTAGAGTATGTTTGAGTGGGCTTACAAATTTATAAGCCCAAATATTCTTTTATATATGCTTCAAAACATTTTCAAGAGACTCTTTAAAAGTGTAAATATGAGATACTCTTTATTTTAAGGGAAAATTTCATAAACAAGAGATTAAGTATTGTATATTTCAAAATTAAGAAAACAAGTTTCAAACTTTCAAAATCAGATTTTTATTAAAATATATTTATGATTTAATTAATTTATTAATTAAATATATTTAAGTCACATATCTATAGAATTTGGTCACAACTTAACAATTTAATTAATCACCTATTATTTTTTGGTCACAAATCAAAAATTTTATGTCAAAAATTATTTTACGATCACAATTCAAAAATTTTATAGGTCACAGTTTGTTCATTGGTCACAAATCAAAAAATTAATTAGTCACGGATTAATCTTTAGTCACAACTAATCAAATTATTGGTCACAGATCGAAAATTTTATAGGTCACATTATTCTTAGGTCACGAAGAAAAAAATTTATAAGTCGCGGGATAATTTTTAGTCACAGTTACCTAATTAATTAGTTACAGATTAATTTTTAGTCACAAATTATCAAATTATTTATCACAACTTATTTCTTGATCACAAATCAAAATTTTTATAAGTCACAGGATAATTTTTGATTGCAAATTCACAAAATTTATAGGTCACATATTCAAAAATATTATTGATCACAACGTATTTACTCATTGCAAATTATTGAATTAATTGGTCACAATTATTTTTTTAATCATAATTTAATAAAAAGTGAGTCACAATCGGAAGTCATAATCACAATTTTCAGGTCACGATTAACTTTACGATCACAACTTAATCAATTGTGAGTCACAATCAAAGGTCACAGTCACAATTATCACGTCACATATCCAATTATTAATAGCAATCACGTAGATAATTGGTCAAAACCATTCAAACGGTCACAGATCGAAAATCACAATTTACTTATAGGTCACATATCACTAATATTATAGGTCACAACAATCACAATTTATTAATTTTTTGGGTCACATATTATTTTTTAGTCACAATTTATCTTTTTCATTGATCACGCATTATTTATTTTATTTATTGGTCACTGATTAATCAACTCACTAGTCACAATTGACCAAATATTCTGTGACCACCGCTCCCAACAACACTACCACCACTGTGACCACCACCACACTGTTCACAAATTATCCAATAAACAAATTTCAACTCTGAGCAACACTACCTCCTCAAACCACCGTCGTCGTCCCCCAGCAACACCACCACTGTACCACACAACACCACCACCACCACCAGCACAACCAAAACCGCCACGACCACCGTACCGCCCCCCACGAACACCACCACCATCGCACCGCCCCCACCAGAAAAAATCTCCAATCTGCCACTGGACTCTACCACCATCCTACAGCCCGTATCAACAACCCCCACCGCCCGTATCAACACCTCCACTCAGCCACAACACCACCACATACAACCCACCACCACGCACAACCACCGCCCACAGTACACACACAATACCACCACATTACAAGCCCAAGACACTGCACAACCACAACACACAACACAATCAGGTTTTTATTAAAAATTATTTATAATTTAATTAATTAATTAATTAATTAATTTAGTAATTTAATATATTTAAGTCACAAATTTATATAATTTGGTCACAAATTAACGATTTAATTCGTCACTTATTATTTTTTTGTCACAAATCAGAAATTTTATATCACAAATTATTTTACGGTCACAATTCAAAAATTTTATAGGTCACAGTTTATTCATCGATCATAAATCAAAAAATTTATAAGTTACAATTTATTTATTGATCACAAATTACAAATATTACAAGTCACAACTTATTATACAGTCACAAGTTATCAAACTATTGGTCAAAGATTAATAATTTTTTAGGTCACACATTATTTTCCGGTAACAATTTATCTTTTTCATTGGTCACATATGATTTATTGGGAAGTACATTATTTATTATTATTATTATTATTATTATTATTATTATTATTATTATTATTATTATTATTATTATTATTATTATTATTATTATTATTATTATTATTATTATTATTATTATTATTATTATTATTATTATTATTATTATTATTATTATTATTATTATTATTATTATTATTTGGGGAAAAGAACCATAGGAGTCTCTAGCGTTGAATCAATAATAAATAAAAGTTTCAACATAACTTTATTGAAGTGGCTCATCAATCAACGATCTATTGCTTCCTCTTAACTATTTTTTCGATAAGATCATCTCTCGACTTTTTAGTTTCCAACAATTAGATCCTCTGTCGATGTTTACCATCAACTAAAATCTATTGTTTGATTTAAGATAATATAGAGTGTTCTAAATTTAAATAAAGCCATTATTTTTATGTAACGTGCATTAAAGATCATGAGCATTTTGTTGGTAAATATTTCATTTCTAAGAGTTCAAACTTTTTGTTTATTAAGGGAAAAGGAAAATTTTCATTTTACATGATCTTAACGATCAAATAGGACGGATTTTGTCAACAAGAACGAACCATGCATATTTCTTTAAATGTTGTGGACGTCTAGTGCTATTTTTAAATGTTTGGATAGATATACAACATTTTTGAAAAGTTGAGGACCAATATGCAATTTTTCCTTATTAAAAGAACATAGGTGAGGTTGGTTAATGACTTAATGGTAAAATCCATTTACAATTCATCGTCACATTTATATACATAACTTTTTTCATGATATTCTCATCTTTATACCTTCTTTAACTAGCAAATTTTGTGTGTAATTAGAGTTCTTGTAAAAAAAAAAAAATTGTTTACATATTTTAAAAAATGGACAATTAGTTAGTCTTAATTCTATATTTGTGTTGCTTTTCGCTTATGTAAAATAACATGAACAAATAAGTTTTTTATTCTATCTTACAAATTTATTTAATAGAAACTATAATGAGGGACAACTTGTTTCAATTTGAGAATGAGAATTTGATGAAAAACTAAGGGTTCATAAACTTCTATTATGATAGATTTCAAGAGTTAATAACGTCTTTAAAGACAAAGTAAACCCCGATCTTGTAAGGAGATCTTCCAAGTCTGAGTTTTGTTATTTGTACATAGAATTTGACAGCCCAATATACAGTCAAACCCGATGTACGCATAGCAAAACCCTCCAAATTTATAAGGATAGATAAATGCGAGTTACGTCATAAATAGCTATTCAAGTCTAATGCTTGCTTTGAAGAAGGGATAAGAGCATGTGTCCAACAATTCTCCAGTTACAAAGGACTGTTTTTAGATGCTTTTCCGGCCTCTCCTTTTTTTTTTTACTAAATATTCTTCTCCTTTTCATGTTCTACTTCTAATTTCAACTTCATGGACTTTACAAAAGGGACCATTAATTTTGGAGTGACCCAACTTATTATGTGTTTTTTGTGCTTTGCACTCAAATGGCCGGCCTAGTAATTGATTGTAGAATCCATTCGAAATAGTCTTCTCTCAATTAATAATTTAATCTAAGGCATTGTTTGGTAGGACTATTGAAAAGTCAAAAGTTGCTTATGAAATTAAAAAGTTAATTTTCAACATATTTAGATAATTTTTTGAACATGCTTTGTCTAAGCTCTTTTACAAAAGTAGAAGCAAAAACGGAAGTTCTGCTAGAAGGGCTCCTAATTATTGCACTTCCTTCGAGTTCATTAACTCGACAAACAAAAAAGGACACAATAACCTGTCATTTGTTCATTAGCGTCTAAAGTAGCGTTATTAAAGCCATGCCAATATCTATGTTATTTTTCGTATGGATTAACCTTATTGAAATGGAAAGTAGAATTTAAATAATTTGATTGTGACAAATAAAATTGAGTTACATTTAGTTAATGTTTTAATTTAGTCCGATTATGATATGCCTATTGAAGACTTTTTCTCGTAAACATCAAATGGTAATTCCATCTTATATCATGGTAGAGTGAGAAAATAATAATAATTTGACCTTTTCAACCACATTTATTCTGTTATATAAGTGATTATTAAACCATATGAAGCCTCTTATAAATTGTTAGTGCAAAAGCAGGTACCATATCAAACTTGAAAAGTAGCCAAAGAAAATCTTGCTTCTGCAATGGCAAATTCACCTTCTATTATTAGCTTTTCCTCTAAACAAAATTTACCAACAGACTTGTCCATTACAGAGGAAGCAAAGGGTTACTCCGCCGACGAATTCCCTCCAAGAGATTCTGTTTCCCCGTCGTACTACCAGAAAGTAAGTTTTTAAACGATTGCATTTGACAATACAGTATACAAGATTTTAATGGATCATTTGTACTTGAGTTAACAGATTATAGCAGAGATTTTGGGCACTTATGTTCTTGTTTTTGCGGGTTGCGGTGCTGCTCTAGTTGATCGAGAGAAGACATTAACAGTTGTGGGTTTAGCAATGGTGTGGGGGTTGGCTTTGATGGCAATGATATATGCACTTGGCCATGTTTCTGGTGGGCATTTCAACCCTGCAGTTACCATTGGCTTTGCAGCAGCTCGAAAAATTCCACTCGTTCACGTAAGAATATCATTTGTACACGAAATTTGGATTGTTCAGTAGTATCCAATCATCTGTTTTGTAACATTGGAATCGTCTTGCAGGTCCCGTTGTACGTTTTATCGCAGTTTTTGGGTTCAACGCTAGCATGCCTCACCCTGAAAGTACTATTCAATGACCAAGCTGATATACTACCCACTCTCACTCATTATTCCAGTTCAACTACTGATCTTGAAGCGATTACATGGGAATTCGTCATCACTTTCATTTTTATGCTCACGATACGTGGAGTAGCTTCTGATGACAGAGCAGTATGTATTTCTCGTTGTGATACCTCTATATTTAGTTCTTGCATGGTTTTATCTAAGCGTTATTGATACTTTTCAACCATCTTCTTTCATAATCTATAACAGATCATTCAATTACTGATTTTGCAATTTTTGTTGATGAAATCAGAATAATGAACTGGCTGGAGTTGCAATTGGAGCTACAGTGATATTTAATGCCCTTGTTGCAGGGTAAGACTTCCCATCCCACAAGCTTCATGCATGTTTTGCTAAGCTTAAAAGGTTAATAAATATATAAATTTTAAAATAAATAATTTTTTTGTTGTTCATAAGGGAGATGAAAGTAAGAAAAAAGTAACATATTTTATCTTATTTGCATAAGCAGTAAACACAAAATGATCCCACCATTCTGCACTATTCTTCTCTTAATATGAACTTCTAGTAACGCTTTCCATCATGTAATCGAAATTGCAACACAAGAAAATAGAAAAGATAAGGGAACCAGAATAAAGGGAGTTCTTAAATATACTTATATAGGTGAATTGAAAAAAAATGCAGGCCTATTACTGGAGCTTCTATGAATCCTGCAAGAAGCATGGGTCCAGCAATAGTTTCTGGAGTCTATAAAAATCAATGGGTGTATGTTGTTGCTCCCATTCTTGGAGCCATAGCTGCAAGCCTGATATACAGTCTTCTCCAGCCATGGAAGCCGGAAAAGCATAGAGAGAGTGCTAGAAGTACATACAATGATCTATATCTACGTCCCGAGGTATGAACATGTATGCAACCATGTGGAAGTATATCAAACAACTGAATGGAGTACTACGATTGGCATAGCAAAATGGACTTTCACACCAGAATCTCGAAGGAAGATGAACATCAGTGTGCTAGATTCCTCTCACATGAAAATCCCGATAGTAGTATTACACATTAGATTTATAGTAGTTTTTTGAGTCTTGCACACTCCAACTCATTAATGAATCCTCTAATCAATTAAAGTTATAACAGTCAGCACTTTCAACGAGTCAATGAAACGATGAGTTAAACAAGACTTGAACACGGGTCAGTTAACAATTAACATACTCCAATACCATGTCGAACCACCTCTAAAAGCTTAGGAGTTAAGTTGTCCGTGAGGAACAAAGTCATTTATCTAAATCTTCAATACAGTGGCAATTAAAGGATATGCAAATTCATAGACAAGCCCTCATCCAAAAAAAAAATAAAAAAAAATGCAGAAAAATGTTGTGTACCAATGTTGAAGTGATGAGCAATAAGCATGAGTCGAATATTATTCCAACTCTAATATCTGCACTGTTGATAAAAATTAAAGGAACAGACCTGCATTTATTAGAGGACTGAACGTCCCTTCATTGACATGTCTGCATTCGTGAGAATATATACTGTACAGCAAAACTACATATATGATACAGCAATAAACAAGCAGAGAGTGAAACACCTGATCCAATTTTAAAAGATTTTAGACATCATGAATTGTTCATCACATAAGATCAGTGACGAAAGAGATGAATGTTGAACAATGGATGATGGTTTCAACCCACGGACCGCTATGGACATTGTCTTGTTACTCAACCTCCAGTCCAGTATATCATCACCTGTAAGGATTATCTGTCAGGGAAGTACAAAATAAACATTGAGAAATTTTCATGGAAGTTTCGGAGAATGTTACAAACTCCAATAGAGTCAAATATCATATCCTCTGATTTAGTATATATCTGTCAACAGTTATATCCAGAGATGGACAGAATCACAAAATTGTCGCAAAATTTTAAGTCCGGTGACCAAATTGAAACAAATGAAGTTAAGTGATGAACTCTAAATTTTGGTAAAAGCTAAGTGACCAGCAAGTTCTTTTAACATGTCTTTAAATAAAAAGTTTCAATAGTTCAAACTTTAATGGTTAGCTTACCCAGTTTGAGAAAGCCGCCTCCAGTTCACTAGCTGGTGAGACTGTGGATGCCTTTGCAAATAAGAGGAACTAGTTCCAATACCATTGTCCTCACCAGTGAATTGATCAGAGAAATTAGAACTCGAGGGAGACCAAACTGGAACTACACCCCCATCCCTTTCTCTTCTGCTACTGGATGATTCTGCTGTTGAATCTTCAGTATCTCTCTGACCCATTGCAAAGTTAAATTGCGGGAAAGTATTGATGGTTCTAACCGTTTGCATAACATGATGCCCATGTGGTTCTCTTGGCTCTTCAGTTACATTAACATTAACATTGATTGGTACTTCTGCTCGACTATCGTCTGCTAAATTTCTGCGATCAATAGAGGTTTCTTCATCATCAAACCTGACCAAAGAAGAAGTCATACTCGGGACCATCTGATCCTCGTAACGTCGAATTACTGTATTCACAGGGTTGTTTCTGACAGGTTCATGGTCCATCTCCATTTGCGTGTCTTCGGGAAGTCCGAGGGGGGCAGACTCCGAGGTGTCTCCAAGTCCCTCTTCCATTCCATTCTCAATTGCAGACCTTGACGCTGCTTCATGCTGCCACATCTGAGACAATGCTTCTTGTAACCTGGCTTTCGCTGCATCGATTTCCACAATGGGAAGAGGGTAATTGGAGCCAAGCTCAATTCCAGCAGCTTGGAGTACGGATTCTGGCGCATTCCATGGATGATGTATCCATTCAGTAGGCAATCTAGCAAGTTCAGGAAGCCATCGCCGAACGTACTCTCCATTGGGGTCGAACTTGTAACCCTCAAACTGTCAAATAGACAATAGGACATGTTTAAAGCCTCTGATGCAGTTTCCAAGAAAACTATGAATACTTGAATGCAATCTAAATATGTCACATTTGGGAGAGCTTCCTAGAATAATTTATGGAAACCAACATAAAAATAAACAAGCAGAAGTCTAAATAATTTCTGCAAACTTGCTAGAAGTAAACTAAGCATGAATTCATGAAAAGCTCATTAATATATACCTGTGGATTATCAATACGATCCAATTCACGACCATCGGGAAGAGTGCCAGATATATACTGCCAACCAAGGGCATCACTCTCAAGATCGGCATCTAATAGGGTATCCCAGAAGTACTTCATTCCCCATCTCCAGGGAAGCAGAAGAACCTTCACAAAGAAACTAGAGACGACGACTCGTATCCGATCATGTAACCAGCCAGTGGCCCACAGCTCTCGCATACCAGCATCCACGAGTGGATAACCAGTTCTGCCTTGTCTCCATACCTTAAAGTAGCTCTCATCCACTACCCACGGAAAATACTTTAGGTGACCAAGTAAAGGCCTTTCATGGCTGTATGGATGATTGAAACTCATGTATCTTGAATATTCCCTAAGGCCTATACTCTTGAGGAACAAATTGACACTCTCTTCACCTGATTTGTTTCCTTCATTGGCCCAAAGAACTTGCTTCATGCGAACGTGATGAAAAACTTTTCGAACGCTGACTTCTCCGAAATGTAAATGCGGGGAGAGAAACGAGGTTGTAGCACTATCAGCCTTTCGACGATTCATGGAGTACTCTATTAGTGGTCCATTGATGAAGGCCGTCAGGGCCTTGTCAGCATTACTCCAGCCAGGCGACCATGCCCGTGCGAGAAGTGCATTACTTCCTTTCTCTGATTCATCTTCAAATACCAAATTGTCTGAAGGGCATCTTGATACATCAGCTAGAAGAGCCAAACAAAAGATATTAGGGGAAAATTCATTAAAAATAAAAAATAAAAATACAGAAGAGTTGGGACATTAGCCGCTCAACACAAAATAAATATGGGACTAAGTAACACAGGAAATCCAACATGTTAAATAATATTCGACATCAACATTATTTTTTTTATCGAAACTACGATAGCAAGTAAATTAACACTAAATATCGGTACCATTAATTAAGTGGACAGGTAAAGCTAACAGGTCAATCATTGGATAAAATGAAGCTGGTCGCTGATAGACAACCAATATGAGTTTTAAAAAGCTACTCCAAAAGAACGAAAATAATCTCTCTCTCTCTCTCTCTCTCTCTCTCTCTCTCTCTCACACGCATTATGGAGGGATTTGAATTGCTACTTTGAAGGCCATCAGCCAGTGAAGTGTTTATCGTCCATGCATAATATATTCAACAGCAATCTTCGTATCTGAAAACTCAAGGGTTAAGACACAAATAATATCACTATACTTCCAATCCACCATTTAAATCACACTATTACCAAAATACAAGGCAGAGTCCAGAGATATAGATCTTTCTTATAAAATAAAGAGAACTACAGAGTGAGGGAGAATTTTAGTATTTGTATTCAATTACAAGAAATTCATGGAAGAATCCAAGTACGGCAGGGAACATTTAACAAGCATAACTTGCATGAAGACAATGAGTGGACTGAAAATGAAGTGTTTGTAAGGAAACAGACCAGAGATGATTCTTTTAGGTGGGAGAAGTGGAGCCTCAGGATCATACAACATGCTAAGGCATCTGTCCCAGAATGAAGTAAAGGTTGTGAATGGACGACCTTCCCCATCACGAACTTCCCAAGGTTCATAAAGCAAGTCCGCATTAAAGGAACGGACATCAACACCTTGAGCTGTTAAAACTTCCTTTGCTCTGTGATCCCTAACCAGTGATATGGGGTCTAAAATAAACAAACAACAAAATGTTATAAGCCCGAGTTAGCTAATGTTTGCAAAATTACAATTCCATAAAAAAAATAAAAGTTAAAGCAAAAATTCAACAGTAATAATAGACTAATTTGAGAATAGAATCAACACTTCCAAGACAGAATTCCACCTTTCTCCAGAAATTGAAGATGCTTGAAGAAAAACTGATCACTAAAGATAAACAGTGATGAGAGCACAATAAATGTGCAATATAAAGGAGTGGCAATTTAATAACTATGCTAGTTTTTTTGTACATATAGTACATTGATCCGCCCACAAGAGAAGATAAGATAAGATAGATAAGGTTACACAACAAATTTTAAGCTGTTTAGAACATATTTTACTGTCCAGCAGCTACAAGGAATGAGTGAACAAAACATCATCAAAATTCTGAACATCATATTTCAAATGAATTGATCCAAGAAAATGATAAAAAAACAGAGAACACACAAGGTCCAATATAGATTGACACAATAAAAAACATGTACTGAAAACCAACAAATATGACCAAAATTAAACCATTTAAAAATAAAAAATAAAATAATAATAATAAGCTAACCATATAAATGGTTGAACAAGAGTTGATTAGCTCCTGTAGATTTCACAACTTCAACAAGTGAAGATAAACTATCATTAGATCTCTTTGTTACGAGAGAAGTGCCTAGGGTTCTTAAAGAGGTATCGAGATGAGCCAAACTCTGCTTAAGCCACCATCTTGAAACCCTTCCAGGGTAATAGACCCCTTCTTCCTCAGGTGCCCATATAAAAACTGCCACTATGGCCCCTGCCCTAACTCCAGCAGCTAATGCTGGATTATCTTCCACTCTCAGGTCCCTTCTGAACCAAACAATACTACATCTACCCCCTGACATCTTCCAAGAATGTCACGAAATCCCAATATAGAGAGTAAATTCTTATATGAGTTTCACCAATTAAGATTCTAGCCCATGAACTATAGAAGAACTAATGTTTTCTGGGGAATCTTGATTTGCCTGAAGTAATCTAATCAAAAAGGTCGACCAAGAAAAAAGGACCCTTTTACAGAGAAAGCAGAGAAGAAGGGGATTGGCTATGGTAGTCTAGTGGGGTTCAATAAGATTGCAGCCACAAATTCTGTTTTTGTTGGTTTTTATTTCTACATCTTTCTTCTTATCTTGTGTATAACAGAACAAAAATCCCTACCCAACTTTCTTATGCCTACCAATCGGACCACAGCGACAGGGTGGAAATGTGATAAATTGGAATTTTTCATTCATACATACAAATCTTCATTTTTATCTATAATTGCTAATTGATAGTGATATAAGAGCTCATGCAGTGGGGACACCCTAAAAATGAAATCACATTATGCCCATTGTCAAAATTATACACCTAGATTATGTCCATTGTCAAAACCTTACACCTACGCCAGAAGCAATCTAAGGTCAAAAATACTGCCAAGAAAACAAAAAATTAGAATTTAGTTCATTATATTATTATAGCTTAAAGAAGTTACTTCTAAAAATTACGTGTATATCTCACGAGTCAAATACAGGTTAGGTAACTTTTCTATTTAAACTTTAAAAATAATTCAATTAAATTAGTTTAAAAATAACTTCTACTTATTGGACATTTGATCCAACTTAAAAAGTATTATCTTCATTCTTTGGTTGCATCTTCTGGGGGCACCACCTGGCTAGTTGAAGTTTATTAATTGTAGTGTCAAGTGGAGTAGTAATGCATGGGAAACTTGGAAGTTGAAAGAAGATAGGTTTGCTGACAGAGAGAGAGAGAGGCGATAATAGAGAGAAAGGGAGAGAGTGTGCGTGTGTCAAGGGAATTGAGAAAGAGAAAAGGAGTTGAGATTGATATAATTAGGTTTGCTTAATTAATTTTTAAATAAAAAAATTAATTAAAAAAATTTCTGATTTGTGAATTACTAAACATGACATCTTATTTATGAAATGAGGATTTTTAATCTATTAGAATTTGTAATTTCCACTTATTTTAAAGAGTAAACCCTTAAAATCATGCTTAAACTCTTTAAATTAACATTTCAATCTAGAGAGTGAGCTCACTCTTTATAATTAAATACATTCAAAGTGTTTTCAATTTTCAATGTAGAAAAATAGTTAAATAATCCAGAAAAAAAGCTAATTAAAATAAAAAGATACAGAAAAATAATAAATATTTTTTGAGAGTGATAAAATTAAGTGTTAAATATAAAGAAATTATTGGCGTACATCAAAAATTTAACTCTCTAAATTTATAAATGCTCTTTAAATGATAAAATATGTTCTTTAGAATAGAGTCTTTTGAAGATGCTTTTACTTATTTTAACTAAACATGATTCATAAAATTGTCAAAACTAGATTCTAAACGTTTGAAGTACATTATTTATTATTATTATTATTATTATTATCATTATTATTATTATTATTTGGGGAAAAGAACCATAGGAGTCTCTAGCGTTGAATCAATAATAAATAAAAGTTTCAACATAACTTTATTGAAGTGGCTCATCAATCAACGATCTATTGCTTCCTCTTAACTATTTTTTCGATAAGATCATCTCTCGACTTTTTAGTTTCCAACAATTAGATCCTCTGTCGATGTTTACCATCAACTAAAATCTATTGTTTGATTTAAGATAATATAGAGTGTTCTAAATTTAAATAAAGCCATTATTTTTATGTAACGTGCATTAAAGATCATGAGCATTTTGTTGGTAAATATTTCATTTCTAAGAGTTCAAACTTTTTGTTTATTAAGGGAAAAGGAAAATTTTCATTTTACATGATCTTAACGATCAAATAGGACGGATTTTGTCAACAAGAACGAACCATGCATATTTCTTTAAATGTTGTGGACGTCTAGTGCTATTTTTAAATGTTTGGATAGATATACAACATTTTTGAAAAGTTGAGGACCAATATGCAATTTTTCCTTATTAAAAGAACATAGGTGAGGTTGGTTAATGACTTAATGGTAAAATCCATTTACAATTCATCGTCACATTTATATACTTAACTTTTTTCATGATATTCTCATCTTTATACCTTCTTTAACTAGCAAATTTTGTGTGTAATTAGAGTTCTTGTAAAAAAAAAAAAATTGTTTACATATTTTAAAAAATGGACAATTAGTTAGTCTTAATTCTATATTTGTGTTGCTTTTCGCTTATGTAAAATAACATGAACAAATAAGTTTTTTATTCTATCTTACAAATTTATTTAATAGAAACTATAATGAGGGACAACTTGTTTCAATTTGAGAATGAGAATTTGATGAAAAACTAAGGGTTCATAAACTTCTATTATGATAGATTTCAAGAGTTAATAACGTCTTTAAAGACAAAGTAAACCCCGATCTTGTAAGGAGATCTTCCAAGTCTGAGTTTTATTATTTGTACATAGAATTTGACAACCCAGTATACAGTCAAACCCGATATACGCATAGCAAAACCCTCCAAATTTATAAGGATAGGTAAATGCGAGTTACGTCATAAATAGCTATTCAAGTCTAATGCTTGCTTTGAAGAAGGGATAAGAGCATGTGTCCAAAAATCCTCCAGTTACAAAGGACTGTTTTTAGATGCTTTTCCGGCCTCTCCTGTTTTTTTTACTAATTATTCTTCTCCTTTTCATGTTCTACTTCTAATTTCAACTTCATGGACTTTACAAAAGGGACCATTAATTTTGGACTGACCCAACTTATTATGTGTTTTTTGTGCTTAGCACTCAAATGGCCGGCCTAGTAATTGATTGTAGAATCCATTCGAAATAGTCTTCTCTCAATTAATAATTTAATCTAAGGCATTGTTTGGTAGAACTTTTGAAAAGTCAAAAGTTACTTATAAAATTAAGAAGTTACTTTTCAACATATTTAGATAATTTTTTGGACATGCTTTATCTAAGCTCTTTTACAAAAGTTGAAGCAAAAACAGAAGTTTTGCTAGAAGGGCCCCTAATTATTGCACTTCCTTTGAGTTCATTAACTCGACAAACAAAAAAGGACATAATAACGTGTCAATTGTTCATTTGCGTCTAAAGTAGCGTTATTAAAGCCATGCCAATATCTATGTTATTTTTCGAATGGATTAACCTTAGAATTTAAATAATTTGATTGTGACAAATAAAATTGAGTTACATTTAGTTAATGTTTTAATTTAGTCCGATTATGATATGCCTATTGAAGACTTTTTCTCGTAAACATCAAATGGTAATTCCATCTTATATCATGGTAGAGTGAGAAACTAATAATAATTTGACCTTTTCAACCACATTTATTCTGTTATATAAGTGATTATTAAACCATATGAAGCCTCTTATAAATTGTTAGTGCAAAAGCAGGTACCATATCAAACTTGAAAAGTAGCCAGAGAAAATCTTCCTTCTGCAATGGCAAATTCACCTTCTATTGTTAGCTTTTCCTCTAAACAAAATTTACCAACAGACTTGTCCATTACAGAGGAAGCAAAGGGTTACTCCGCCGACGAATTCCCTCCAAGAGATTCTGTTTCCCCGTCGTACTACCAGAAAGTAAGTTTTTAAACGATTGCATTTGACAATACAGTATACAAGATTTTAATGGATAATTTGTGCTTGAGTTAACAGATTATAGCAGAGATTTTGGGCACTTATGTTCTTGTTTTTGCGGGTTGCGGGGCTGCTCTAGTTGATCGAGAGAAGACATTAACAGTTGTGGGTTTAGCAATGGTGTGGGGGCTGGCTTTGATGGCAATGATATATGCACTTGGCCATGTTTCTGGTGGGCATTTCAACCCTGCAGTTACCATTGGCTTTGCAGCAGCGCGAAAAATTCCACTCGTTCACGTAAGAATATCATTTGTACACGAAATTTGGATTGTTCAGTAGTATCCAATCATCTGTTTTGT